TGTCCATTAATCAAAGAACTAAATTGGGAAGGGGGAAACATAATGTAAACATTATCAGGAAGAGAGTTCCTGGTAGGAGAATCAGCAATAACAAATGCTCTGAAGAGGAAGTGAGGAACAGGAGGAGGGAGAGCATAGCTGAATGAAAGACAGTAAGGCAGGAAATGTTGGAGCCGAACATGGGAGCCAGATCATACAGGCCCAGCAGGCTATGCTAGTTACCTGAATTTGATTTTGACAGACCAGAATTCATTTCAAAGTTGTAAACAGAGGTGTGGTATGCTCTGATTTCAATTTGTAAGATATCGTACTGACTGCTGTGCTGACAAATCATTGGATGGGAGCAGTGTGAAAGAGTATCAGACAGGAGTTTATTATTATAACCTAGATCAGAGAACACAGTGGCATGAACCAGAGGGGTAGTGTGGAAGTAATGACAAGTAACTTGTTTATGAGGTAAACCTGAGAGAACATGCTGATATATAGAATGTAGAGGGTGATAAAGAGGATGAATCAATAATAAAACTTAGGATTTTGGCCTGAGTATGCTGGTCAACAGCAGTGACCTTTACTGAGATGGTGAAGAATGAGAGAGAAGTAGGTCTGAGAGGAAAATCAAATAGTCTGCTTTATTGTATTAACTTTGATATATTTATTAAAAATCCAAATGAGTAGTAGGTAGTTGGATGTATGAGTTCATCAGAACCCTAAGGTCTTCAGATAAAATCTGGCGTCATGTGCACCCATACAGAGCTTATCTAAAGATATGGAACTTGATAAAAGTATCTAGGGCTCAAATAAAGCAAAATGGAAGATACTAAAAGTATGTTTCTAAAGGCAGAAAAATAATGAATGTTTCACATCCAGAGACTAGATAGGTTTGAGTGGACAGTGAAGATAAATGTGAAAATATAAGATACCCTAAACAGAAATAGAGAATGTGAGCACAATGGAACGTTTTGGAAGGCAAAGGTAGAATTTTGGGGCAAACTAATATAGTGTATAAATACTTTTAAATTCTTGATTTCAATAATCAATAAACATGATAGTAGTGTTATCACAGTAGCAACTGAGGATATAAAACTATAGTTTGAACACTCTGGGACTATCTATAGATTTAGAATTCATCCTCATAGCATGGGTTAAATTCCAGAGCTTGAATACACCACCAGAGGTGGTGAATAAAAAAAACAAACTCTACTTCTCAACTCTGGTGGATACAGAGGGACCATACCTCAAGGTAATAAAGGCCATATATCACAAGACCACAGCTAACATCATACTCAAAGGTGAAAAGCTGAAAGGATCTCCTCTAAAATCAGGACCAAAACAAGGAAGTCCAGTCTTACCACTTTGATTCAACATAATATTGGAAGTCTAGTCAGAGCAATCAGACAAGAAAAAGAAATTAAAAGAATCCAAACAAGGAAGCAAGAAGTAAAACTCATTATTTGCGGATGACACTATACATAGAAAATGCGAATGACTTTGTATATGTATATATGGTATATGTATATAAAACATGTATATATTTTGTATATATGGGTGATACTGGACTCATAGAATGAGTTCAGAAGCATTCCTTCCTCTGAAGTTTATTTGTAACAGTTTGAAAAGGATAGGTGTTAGCTCTTCTCTAAATGTTCAGTAGCATTTACCTATGAAGCCATCACGTCCCGGTCTTTTTTTTTCTTTTTAATTACTGATTTAATTTCATTACTGATAATTGGTCTGTTCATATTACCTATTTCTTCCTGATTCAGTCTTGGTAGATTGTATGCTTCTAGGAATTGATAAATGAGAAAGCTTATTTTGTATTCATAAGATAGACCTTACTAGTGTTGAAATTTAAGATTCATAATTCACATACATGCCTCTCCTGTTAAATTTTTCTGCTGTTTCTATTGTTCCTGTCCTCTCATGTAAGTAGCACTAAGAACAGTGAATAATTACTCACTGTTTGTTCTGTTTGCCAATTACCTCATAAACATTACTTTATAGAGCATGGACTATATGTTATCTTTGACCACCTCTGTAAAAATGGTCTATTAATAAAACTATCATGGGAAATAAAGTTAAACAAAGCAAAACAAAAATAGTATTTCTCCATAAAACACTAAAAACAAAATGCAAAAATAATATCTTCTTTTATACAAAGATACATAAAATTTGACCAGTATGAACATTTGTAAGTCCAGTTTTATGCCGATACAATTAATATCGTTAAAAAAAAGTCCATGACTTACATTAAAAACAAGTGAAAATCTTCAATGACTATAAAATTCAACGAACATAAATATGAGTATGATTAAATTATTGTTTTTTTATGAGACATTGTATATTCTTAATGCCAATAAAATCGCTACAACTGTGAAATATATCATTGAGATGGCTAGGACCATTCTTAAAACAAAATTGCTTTTACAGTTTTAAAAGTTAATGTGCCTATGGGTTGAAGAGTGATCAGCTTTTCAAATGTTTATATACAATAAATAAATACATTAAAAAGATGACAAC